GTAAGAGTTTTTTTCTTCACGATTAGTAAAAGAATCTTTACCTGATAGAAAAAAAATGAATATTATTTTCGAAATCCGCATAGCTGAATTATGGAAAATTCGTTATTAAAACCAAAACAACTTTTGCGAGGTTTAAATTCGCAGGCCTGTGTTATCAACCTAAATATCTTCTTTTTACGTACAATCCTCACAAATATTAGTTGATTTGATAGTACATTTTATCTAAAAACAATATTATTATTGTAATTGTAACAGTCATTTTTAATAATGAATTTTGGGCCAGGAAGCTTGTAATTATGAAGTTTCTGTCAAGTGTTTTTTAAACGAATAAATAAACCTGGGAGGTTGAATTACACATATAAGAAATCCCTACGGAAAATAAAATCATTATTTTGTTTGAAAGACTGATTTAGTACACTGAGTATTCTTGCGAAGATTAATTACTCACAGGAAGTGAGCTAGTTATAAGATAAAGCCAGAATACGTGTGTAACAAGGTTCATAGCCAAACACTAACACGCAGAAGAAATTAGAAACAAAGTTTAAAAGACAAGATATACAGTAATTTTTCAAACTAAAATAAAATACTCCTCAGCATACATTCCTAAGGACGTAAAAAAATGTGAATGTGTTAAATAAGTAAAATTATGTTTATGGTTTTAGTGAGGCCTCTTTATGTTTTGTAAAAAAAATAGAAGTTATTCTGGAAATAATAGTCGGCTACTGTCTAATATATTCACAGAACAGCATATAATAAATGTACTTAAAATAAGATAGTGTACCTGCCTTTTCATATAAAAGCGTTCTTAGCGTGTTTTTCATTTATTGAAAGGCCTACTGTCGATTCTTCGTTAATAAAATGTTGATTAATATGTACTTCAAAATAACATAGAATATGGTTTAATACAACATGTATAATGTAAGCAGTTTTTCTACAAAACCGCTCTGGATTACATTTATAACTCTCATAGCCGTGATATATTTTTTGTACAATAGCCAAACCCGTTTGTACTCTATAAGTGACACTGCTTAGTTTCTAAATAAACCCGTGTAGCTACATAATGGGATATCTATGTTGTGTCCATCACGAGTATCGAAACCGGGTTTTTAGCGGTGTACTTGGATAAACTTTTTATTGATAATTACTTATATATATTTTCAAAGAGAAATAGACTCTCGGTTGAAGAAAGTTCCGCCGCAAGTGGTAAGATAATGTTGCACATTTTGTCACAATGATTGTAGAGTCGAATACAAACAAACGTTATAGCTACCTTTGCAGAGGTAATCATTCGTTCTAATGTACAAACTTACGATTTTCCTAGGTTTTGATAACTTCCATTGTCATTAGAAAACAAATAATCATGCAATAATATTCGAGAACCTCGGAAAATCTTTAGTTTATGAAAGGACAGGGGTGTATACAATCCCATGTTTAAACCGAACAACAGTTATGTTTTTCAATCCAAGTTTAATCACATATAATTCTTATTGAAGTTCAGAATTAATGCTATGGTTCACTTTAAAGCATATTGTGTGTATTGGTGCTTTATTTATTATTCATAGTTTTAAGGCTATCGCAGGAGAAGAAAATTTAAGATATTTTAATTTATATGTTTCGTATATAAGTTAGAAGTATGCGAAGCCCCTGCCAAAATATTTTTTTATCGTTACCACAAAGTTATACAGAGAAATTAACAACCAACCGCTGGATTTGTTTGTTTGTTTTTGAATTTTCGCGCAAAGCTACACGAGGGCTATCTGTGCTAGCCGTCCCTAATTTAGCAGTGTAAGACTAGTGGGAAGGCAGGTAGTCATCACCACCCACCGCCAACTCTTGGGCTACTCATTTACCAACGAATAGTGGGATTGACCGTCACGTTATAACGCCCCCACGGCTGAAAGGGCGAGCATGTTTGGTGGACGGGGATTCGAACCCGCGACCCTCTGATTGCGAGTCGAGCACCCTAACCACCTGGCCATGCCGATAGACTAGAGGGAAGGTAGCTAGTCATCACCACCCACCGTCAACTCTTGGGCTACTCTTTTAACAATGAATAGTGGGATTGACTGTTACATTATAACGCCCCAACGGCTGAAAGGGTGAGCATGTTTGGTGGACGGGGATTCGAACCCGCGACCCCCTGATTGCGAGTCGAGCACCCTAACCACCGGTCCCCAACCGCTGGAAAAATTATTAAAACTCATCTCTGGATCCTAATTACCTATATTTTTGAAATTTGCTGATATAAAATCGGATCAAATTTAAATTTCAAAGCAGAAAATTTCGGAGTCACTCTAAATGATTATTAATGTCAAAAAAAAAGCGTTTCATTAAAACAATACTTCCAGTTACCTTGGTATTATTCAACAAGTTACACAATGTTTGGCTTCTTACGCATAGCCGTCCCTAATTTTGAACTAAGAAACTAGAGGGAAGGAAGCTATTCAACAGCATCACTGCCAACTCTTGGGTTAATAAGCCACACCTGGCCCATTCTTTAATACTTTTTTTTTGTTACTCATGCCTAATCTGTTCACAGTTGCGAGATTTGACTAATTTATTGTAGCTCTCGCCGGAATATCATTTGAAGTAATATATTATCACATTTATTACAGGAAAAGTAGTTCAAGCTAATGCAAATCTCCAAGTAAATAATGACAGTTATTCTTCGTATATTTTGTGCTATAAGAATCACCATCAGAATACATTATTATAAGCAATACATACATACCACAAGAATGCTATCACAATCCTCAACAGATGGCGCTATAAACGCATGTACCTAATGTGTATGTATGTGTGTGTGTCTGTAGACAGATATAAAACAAATAACCAAATCATTTGGAATAGTTTATAAACTATAGTTTATAAACAATACAATCCACAAGAAGGCTATCACAATCCTTAACAGATGGCGTTATAAACGTATGTACCTAATATGTGTGTATGTGTGTGTAAACAGATATAAAACAAATAAGCAAATTATTTGGAATAGTTTGACAAGCTTATGCTACAGACAAATTCTAAAAATAGTGAAAGATTAAAATGTGATTATGATATACGAATTAATCCTTAATTTTTGTTGACTGATATTTCAAACTAAGTTAAAAAATTTACTGGCGAGTTCCAAGAAATATTACTTTTGATTCAGTCTATTAAGAAAAAAAGAGCAACTGAACTACTATAGAAAAAAAGGAGACAATTAAGTATTAGCATAATAAATAATAAATTAAGTAAACCTGAAAAAAAGAAGAAGAAGTTCAACTAAATAAACAGGAGTGATGAATTAATTATGATAACATAAATTTGCGTTATGGCAATAAAATGGACAAAAATACAATGTTGGTCTAAGATTAAAATGAATATTCATTTTCTTTTAAACACGCTGACATTTCTCAAATAACCTTCGACATTTGGTGAACAGTTCTTGAATTATTCATTACTATAAATATTGCAAGACAGAATTCTGCCATGTTTGATGATATTTCTAGGGTTAGTACGTTAACTGTTACTGCAATGGTACGGCGACGAACGACGAATATTACATTCTGCAATAAATAATTTACATTCAAGTAATCACCACTGTTTTAATGTTGTACTATACGGTCCAACTATCACTATCTCATTCTGATTATATATAGAAGCTGAAAATTCGACCTGAAATAAAATATAGAAGTTTCAATTAAATTATTTCAAGAAACGAACAATCATCGTATTGTTTCATCTTTATTTTATCCAACAAGTTGTACTTATTGTTTATGATATTGCATTTATAATATGTGATCACATTAAAGTCTGTGCTACTCTCTTTAAGTTACTTATACTTACTAACAATTTCAGATGCTCATATAAATAATTATGCTGGTTTTGCTGAGCTTCGACGTGGAAATCTTTTTTTAGTAACATACTCGTCGAAATACCTTATTATAAGTATAACATATTGTTCAGTTAGATTAAGCTCAAAGCAAGAATAGAAAAAGCCTAAATGTTAGAAATAACAAGACAAATGTAATACAAAAACTATTTACCTGATAATTCTTTGATACAGATTTCAAAAGGAGAGAAAAAAGACAATAACGTTATAAGTATGCGAGTTGATGACAAAAGAAACATACAACACGTAAAAAAACTCTACAACATTTTAAGAACAAAGAAAGAGTTACCAGAGTTTAAATTATTGGAGTTTTATCATAAAGAAACAAAATATACCGTGTTAAACATCATCATAAAACATGCATTTCAATATTTTATTTGACAATTTATAAGAAATTAAACTGTTTATCTAAAACCCTGTACATATTCTTATTTCATTCTTTAGTATTTTGATCAACATCCGAAAAACTCTTTTGCATGGAAACCCATGCAAGATATTTATTTATCGGAGAGATTTTTTTTCCAATCAACTTTAAATAAACTCTCACCTTTATCTTCTAGGTTTGGAGGTGGTTCGTAAAAGGCAAGTCCCAATGAAATGATAGCAGCGACTTCCAAAATTACAAGTGTAACATCTTGTAATGCTTCCCAGACTAGCTGTAAGAAAGTTTTTGGGGGTTTCGCAGGTATTACATTGGCACCAAAAGTTTGGCGTCTGTGGTCAAGATCTGCTTGAGATCCACTCAGACCTGAAATATTCAGAGAAGAAGCTTTGTTCACTTTAGCTAGAGATATCTCTATACCTGATCAATGAAAGTCTATTAGAAGAAGCAACAGATATATAACGGTTGAAAGACAAAATGACTGAGTTGAGGTACGAACAGGATCACACACACACACATATTATTAAAATCAAATGAAACTGTAAGTTGTATGAAAACATCAGTGTAATTTGTTTGAAGCTTAAGCCTAGAACAACGAAATCTAGATAAGAAGATAAAAAAAACCTAATGGATTATCATCAAGTTCTTTCCCCCCACAGTTTGTGACTTGGACTTAAAAAGGACGATATATTTTATAGAAGCGTTAAATGAACTGATTTTTATTCACGGCTGTTTGTTTTCGAAACGCTCTGACGGAATTGTTCGGATGATCCATGAAGGCAATATATTTGCATATTTTTTAATCTAACTGTAGATTAAATGTATGGTATATAATTTATGTTTCTTGATTATACAAACGTCGATTGGCTATAAATAAAGTGAATAAAAGTTAATATTGGAAATATAATAAATTAAATTAAGAATAATTTACTCTCTCTTATCTGTCTTACATTGAAATATGTAGTGCGTTAATTAAATAAAAAGTAACAGCCAATGATTACACGATCTGTTCGACCAAATTTTAAATGATCACCAATCCTAAAACTAGACTGTAATAACCAATATAATATATCAAAGAGTGAGACACTAAAATAAGTTAGACTCAGATAACATAATACACACGTTTAAAGATATATTCTAGAAACAATTATGTGATTCTTTTTCATCATAGCTGTGGTGGGCACAGCACAGATAACCCATTGTGTAATCTTGTGCTTAACAACAGCAAACACAAACAAACTTTCTCATTGATATAATACAGGAACTAAACTGTAGCATTGCCAAAAAGAAACAGAATTAAAATAAGGATAGTAGGGAAAGAGTGCGTGTTTAAAAGAAGACTAAACAAGAGTAAACTGTAAAACAGTATGGAATAACAGGAGAAAAAATGAGTAACTAAGGAGAGAAATTAACGAGGAAGATAACAAATTTAAATAAGACCAATTAAAACAACAGTTTCAAAATGAGACAGTTGTTTGTTCATTGTTAAGCACAAAGCTACACAATGGTCTATCTGTGCGGTGCCCATCACGGGTATCGAAACCCGATTTTTAGCGTTATAAGCCTCCAGACTTACCACTGAGCCACTAAAACAATTTTTTAAACAGAAAAAGGACAGGCATGTTAAATTTCATAACAAGATCACAAATGTAGATACAACATAAATAAGTGAAATAAAAAAACGCTGAATATCATAAGTGTTAAATGAAAGAAAAAGGTAATTAAGAACGGGCAACTTTTTTTTTACATATCTAGGTGATATCCAGGCTGCTCAGTTTCGCAGAAGTAATTAATTTAGCTGGAAACGCTCGAAATAAGAAACGTCAACAATAAATCATTTGTGACACTAGGTGTTTCTTTCGCCATCATACATCTTTATAAGACGAGAGCAATCACTTAAAATAAAAACAATGAGAGAGAGATTACATCAAACTAATTTGTTCTCACCCACAGCCTTGAAATGTAATACTAAAACACGTCCTGACAGTCGAACCGAACAATGTATTTTAATGGCAACGAAAACTTAAACTTCAACATCTGAAATTAAACTATTAATATTACCCAGCCGATATTCACATCATCAGATTCTTAATTTGTTAAAATAAGTCAAACGAGGTTAATACTTAATTTTTAATGTATCTATACTCGTACTTTCATCTTCTGTCTAGGCCTAATCGTTTCATGTCGTTTTATTTTTCTTTTAGGTACGGTAGAAAACCAGTTGGGTATGAACAAAACTAGGTTCCTTCTGTATCTAAACACATCTAGGTTTGGAGGATGGAATGTCGAAATTAAAATTAATTAAATATAGGTCGTCCTTCTTTAAATAAGGCCCGGCATAGCCAGGTGGTTAGGGCGCTCGTCTCACAATCTGCGGGTCGCGGGTTCGAATCCCCGTTACACCAAACATGCTCGCCCTTTCAGCCGTGGGGGCGTTATAATGTGACGGTCAATCAGTTGAAAATAAGCCATTATGAAAAGAAAACAACAACAATTCCAGGAAGATTGCCATTGCAGTTATTAAATGTCGTCT